AGAGCTACATGCAGTCAAAAAGTGAAGCAGAAGATCTGGTTTGAGGGTGGTGGATGGACCCATAGATTGAGCTGAGAACACAAAGACTACAAACTTCCAAATTTGTCATTTTTCCCTGTTTTCCAACATTTCCATGAACAGTTCCTGCTGCAAGATCGGATGGTAGAGAAAGCCCGCTTCGCGATGTGTACACTTTAGAAACAGTGGTGCGTCTTTCAAAAGTCGGTGCTATTCAAAAGAAAAAAATCTTTAATTCAAAGAAGTATATTCTGCTACCTATCTCAGGGTAGATGAAATGACAAGGCTTTGACAACTTCCTCCACTTTTCATAATACAAAACAGGCAATTTGAGAAGGCGCTTAAAAAAAAACTTTCCCTCATTGAAGAGATCAAAAAAATGTCATTCTAACCGTCAGCTTTTTTAACCAGACACGAGTCTGCTGTAAAATCGCACTTTTGTACACACTTTTTGTCTCTAGAAGGCATACACCTTTCTCCACTCTGACCACCGATTTTTTTGGGTCTCCTTTGCCTCTCCCAACTGTCTGTTCCCTTTCGCAGGGTGATAAACACCTGGAGGGGCAATAAAATCAGGCAGGTACGGAGGATGGGGAAGAGAAGTGAAGGCAAGGCAGCAGGCGCTAGCGTCCTTCCCTGTTCCCCTCCCCCAGCCCGCCCGCTTGCCCGCCTGCCTGCCTCCTCCCTCTCTCCCACCATAAAGCTTGATTCCTTGCACGGATAAGTTCTGCGGCATGCAGTTTGAAGTCTTGTTGTGTCATGGCATACCATGCCAATTCAAGCCTTGTGGAAGCAGCACCTTCCCTCGGCTGATTCATCAGAATTGGCAGTTTCTCAGGAAGAAGAGGCAGTGATTCTTACATACCTATGGGTCCCACCGAGTGAACAGACTTCGGGAGTAATTGCTGCTTGGTTTTCAGATAGAAATCTATGGCGGAAAACTCCAACAGAGAATGAAGCAGTGCATGTCTAAGAAATACGGTCTCAGAGTAGTTTGGGCAGTGGATTGTTTGATTGACAAACCCTGAAGTGTAGAAGCCATCTGTTGTCATAGATATCGAAGATATCGGCCCAAAATTCAACAAGGGAGGAGGAAGTCAGATGAACTCTGCCACATGACTTTGACAGTGGATGTAGGTGTGAACGAATCACCCTGGCACTTAAGCTAACCACGTCAACTGTTAGTGAAGGGTCTTTTGAATGCCTTGCAGCATCATCATTGTTCCTCCTACAACTACCATCTTTGTTGGATAAAGTAGGAATTCTAGGGAGGATGAGGAGAACCGTACGGAGGTCAGTCGAGAGGCTTAACCATGCATCCATCTAAACGACTGCAGCTATTTGACAGGCTCCTTCCAAAGACAGGAAGTTGGTGAATTTAGCTTCTAGGTAAACCGAAAGAAATGTTTCTGACGTGGCCACCTAATGTTATCTTTATCGTTGACGACCTTATCTGTCAGAAGGGTATGGCTCCAGAAGCCTCCTTGGCTCTGGTCTAGAGAATCAAAAGCGGAAGGAGAACAAACACCTGCGATCGTGGCTCCGACTACCTAGACGCGTAGGGCATTCTCCCCTCCACACCTTCAGCACAGCCAGAGACGGGGAGAGAGCGGCATTGAGCGTAAACGCCGAGCATATGCAAAAACTTTGGTCCTTTTTCTTCGCCACCCACTTCTAAGGGTCACGTCACCTCATGTCCAGAAAACTATGCGTGATGAGGGTCAAAGATCGGTTACGGTGAAGAACTATTTGCTCAGCGCAACTTTTCCTTCCTTAGACACATTCAGGACTACGCAAAAAAGGAGAGCTGAGGACCTTAAGGTTCGGCAATGGAAAGAGTTGCAACTTGGAAGAAAATGGAACGGTGACATTCCTCGCAGTGGTAATCACTTTTTCTTGGCATCGGTACTAGACAATCACATAATTCCCTAAACACTGGGATAGGTAGATGGGAAGAAAACTGGTGATAGGAACGGAGGTGGCTTGTAAGATTTAATTCCATGAGAAAAGGGGGAGGGGATTTAAAGAGGTTGGCAAAAAATGTCACGATTAGCTATTTACGTGAGAATCAGGAGGACCTTTTAAGAAACGCTGACTGGGGAGTGGAAGAGAAAGCTATTATCCGGTTTAAAACGCACCAGAACGTTCAGATTTGGGCTCTTCATCCTCGGTGTTATCAGCAGTGCCAACAGCAGTGGAGATGGAGGCTTCAAGACCAAGGAAAGCTGACGCATTGGAAGTGAGGGCAGAGACTGAAGGAAGGGTGGTTTTAGCAGCAAGGATGGCACGGGAGATGTCCTCCAACCACCGATCGCGTTGCCACTCACTGGGTGCGGCTACCACGAAGCAACGATTGCCGGAGTAGACGGTGAAACTCAGCGGCGATTCGGCTTCCTCTACCATTAGATCTTGCAGCGGGAACTGACCGTGAACCTGTTGAAAAAAAGGAGAGATTGATGAAAAAAGTTGTCAAAGGTAGTTTTTATGGTGTCAAAAGGTCATCCCCTTAAATTTCATGCCTCAAATTCTGATTGCCTGTCTGTCTGTCTATCTATCCAACC